AAACAGAATTAGTAAACAGTGGCTTAATTGAGTAGAAAACAGATTCTAGAGATTCGTTAACTAATAAAAGATGATAAGAGACCTTGGTGATGAGAAACTTTAGTGCCCAAAGACCAACTATATCTGCCTTTGCTTCTTCCACTGCAGAATAAACATCTTGCAGTTCCTGTATCAAATGAAAAAGACAAGGGACAGAAAAAGATCAAACTAAAAGTTGTCTTGTGATTAGTGCATGATTGCAAGACAAAAGATTCTTATTAGATTTAAGACCTTTCTCACTGAAGAGGTTCGACCATCCGGAAGTGTTATGCTATGCGGGCCAATGCCATGACAACACTCATGGCAAATGGTGTGAGTGAAAAAAGAATCGAAATCAACAAAGCCTTGTTGTTCTTTGCTGATGGTGATTTCAGCTATAGGCTTTAGAATATGTTCAAACCTGAAAAATAAATAAAAAAGGCTTAGTAAGAAGTAATGCGTTTGTGGAAGAAACATGGAGGAAGAGCATTACTTTGCTTCTTGAACGTTTTTGAGCATAACCATTGATGTTCCTCTTTCCCTGAGGATTTTCTCATCGTTGGGTAAATTGAAAGCAACAGTCTGAGGACCGTTCACATCCTGTCACAATCAAGAAAGAAGTTAAATAAAAATACAAGACATGGCTAGTTTCCCTCTCCTCTCTAGGATCATGTATGGATACTCAGTGGAACTTACCCCGGAATTGTAAATTAACTGGATGACCCGAATAGGAGCAGCAGACACATCTTTTGACTTGTATACACTGTCAAGCGGGAGATTGTCTTCCAATAGCTATCAGAAAGTGAAAATGAAACATATATGAGCTCAAGCAAATGGAACATTGGTTGATCGAAGCTGCATAAAGAGGAATGTACCTTTAGATTGTCACCAAAGAGTTTTAGATCAGCTGTGGCTTTGTCATCTCGAATACCAATGAAGGCTTCAAATGAAGCCTGCCATGAAAAATAAACACAGATTAAGAGAGATATCATGCAATGAACCTAATGTAAATGAAAATTAAAATGGTTAAAGGAGTTGCAACAAGACCGTCAATGAAATGCAAAGCTAAACGCTAATATTGTGAGTACAAGTATAAGTAGATCACTGCAGAAGGAAAAAATTTATGGAAATTATTACCTTGTAACCAAACATTTCATCTTCGTATGTCTCGTATGGACCAATGGTAATATCCAACTTTGAATCCTACAGAAGTTGATAGAAGTGTGAATGACAATCTCTCAAACACGAAATTGCAGACTTGATAATAAAATAGCTAGAGCTCGTCTAACAAAATCTATCATCTTCTGTCTTATGAAACACTACTTAGCTATGAACATGAATGGGAAAAGAAGAGGTACCAAGTCCATCCATGCAATGTCTGACTCATAGTAGTCATTTGAAAGGAACGCTTCAGCTTTACTGTGCAGCAGCTTCTTCAAACTGTGAAAATACATTATAAAGTACTTGAAAACACAAAGCCACTTGAATGAGATAATATATGTTATTATACCTCTGTGAAGTGACCAAGTGTCCAGCTTTGTGCAAAAGTTCAGAGGCTTTTGTGAGGAAAGGTCGATATATCTCTGAATAGGGACTACTATACAGATCGGAACTAGAGTCTGGTATTGTGCTATCAGCGAGATGCTCAGATAGAGAAGCATCTAGATTAGCTTCAGTTCGCCTTTTTATAATACTGAAAAATCCTGTTGCAGCACGCTTTTGCTCTTCCGTGAGACTACTGAGCCATGAGGTAGACTCCTATAGATTTTCGAAACACATTTCTTACCATGGTTAAGGGAACATATCAAAAAATGAAAAACAAACATCAAATATTGTGATTGTGTAAGGTACCGCTTTATCCATATCTGGAGGATAGAAATTGGCACCAGGTGGCTTAGTCAAAGGAAAAGCTGCTCTGTATTCAAGACCCTTCCAGCCATCAATAGGTTTCGTTGCTTCAGGAAGCAACTTTACAGCTGAATCAGCCGTAGTCAAGAATGGTTCATTTTCATCCAGAGACGACCTACAAATGTAGAATGAAACATCAATCTTTTGTAATGATATCTCCTAATTTTCATGAGGTGTACACACCAAATACTATATGTTACTGAATTAACAGACACCTTTGTTGTAAGAAAGCCACTTCAATGATACTCACCATGGACTTTTGTTGATCAGAAAGTATTTCCATTTTAATTTGTCCAGTTCTGATGCATTAGCATGCTCCTTAAGCCAATCTCTTAGAGCTGGATTGCTGTGCCAAAGCTGTTTATGATAACAGAAAACTTATCTAGTTTAGTTCACGTTCAGCCATGAGATCTCATGTCCACAAACAGAACAAGAAAATTCGGACAACAGATCTACAAAACCTGCTCATAGAAAATATCGTCAATAACTTTTGCAGCCTTCACAATTAGAGCCAGCGCTTTCTGATCTGCCTCAGAGAATTCTGTCAACTGCATAGTCATCAAAATCTGAGTTTTGTGGTACATTTGAAACAAATAAATCACGGTAATATATATATGTGACAAGTTTAATACATTTGCTTCGAGGGTGACAGGAGAATATCTCTGGAGTTGCTTCTGCAGAGATAGACTACGAGCCTCAATGTTCACTTGGCACCTTCAACAAAGAAGAAACACTCTATTGTAAGATAACAACTTTCTATATAAACCTTTAGCTCAACGATGGGTATATCACGGAATATACCAGAGATGAAACGACAAAAGTCAGGAAACACTAATAAGAGAGATAATTGTACCTCTGCCTGATTATGTGAAAAAGTTGTCCATATTCTCCATCAACATCATATGGTACATAAGCAGGATCTTCCTTGGCCAGAAGGTTTATGTATTCTTCATAAGGTATGTATTTTACAGCAGAGACTTCCTCTTTCTAATACATATAAGAAAAAAAAACGAAATATTGAGGCAACTTGAGAATCCTAATTAGCGCTAAAACTTATAGCATCTTAATAGTAAAACTCTCACCTGAAGAGTAAAGGCTTCTAATGGGATTGGATGCAGAATTGTAACAAGATACACATCATTGAACTCATTGTTTATGAACTTTCCATCGTTTATGACACTGCAAAAAGCACACAAGAGAAAAAAGAAGAACAGTGTCAGATAAGAGAATCGCCGTGAGACTCGATAGAGTAAATAAACCAGTGTAGATATTCGGATTAGAGAAATCAAGTTAGCTTCAAGATGCAATGATTATACTAATCAAGCTAAACACTTTGAGCAGCAAACAAAATATTTATACAGAGAGAGAACATATGCATAAGGTAAAGCCAATAAAGTTGAGTTTAAAAAAAAAAAGAAACCATTCTTGAAGAAAGACGAATAACTTTTCAAAAGCATCCTTTGGGAGTTTAACGCCAAGCTCTTCCTCAAGCTCTCGCCTACACAGAAGAAGTGAAGTGGAGAGCAACTTTAGTAAAAGGACAGAAGAAGTAAAAAGGGAACTGCAGAGTGAAATTTACTTACTGAGCCGACATAAGAGATGAATCACCAGCTGAGATATGACCAGCACTAGAGATGTCCCATTGACCAGGCCAAGAATCTTTATCATCAGAGCGGAGTTGGAGAAGCAGCTCTTGAGTGCTCTCCACAAAAATGCAGATATGAACTGAACGATGGTAATCTCCATCTCGGTGAACCTCTGACCTATAAGGAAGAAAGACATGGTGAGACACAAAAAAAGAAGATTTGTTTTTTAAGGTAACGAGTCAACGAAGCATCAAAATCAGACAAAAACAAAAAGAAGCCGAGACTGTTTCCAAGGAAAGATGTAGACTTTCAAACGTATAAAAACAATGAATGGTTTGATCCAACTAAAGTCACATCTCAAAATCACTTGTAGTACGAATCGATTTCTGACTACTTTCATCTAATAAGAAGGATAAAAATACACATGCCTGGGTTTAGACAAACCGGTCTTCTCGCCGGATTTGGTCAAAACGTCGAAATGCTCCTCCGCCATAGCTCTATCTCCCTCTCTCCCTGATTAAAGTAAGAAAGATTACCTTATTTATTTATACAAGACGAAGAAGTCTCTTCGTCGAAAATTAAAAAAATAAAGTGACAAACATACTTTTGCTTATCTAAACCGGACGGACGGACCGGACCGGACCCTGTTCAGTTAAATCTTAAATGACATAACTTGGCTCGAGACATCTACATTCAAAAGTGACACATTTGGAAATATATTTGTCATAGAAATCCACTCCCTACGGGGAATCCGAGTTCTCATTGTTTCATGTGAAAAGAGATAAGTATATATATGTCAGCAGCTAAATATCAAATCCAAATTTTTCAAGAGAACAGCAACATTGTCAACTTATTTCAATATTTGCATGAAGGAAACCAAAGTCGTACGTAGATATCAACGATGCTCGCTGGAAGGTAGCACAAATTGCAAGAAAGTGTATCTAAATCTCAAGAGAAGGAAACGGCCAAACATGAGACAAATATCCATGGAACTAGAAATGATTATCATTTATGTCCAGTAGAGCCCATATCTACAAGCAATCCATGTACAGACATTTCATTTATGGGTGAGGTGATTAAATGTTCATATTGTTCAACCACTAGGCTTTCTGCGGAAGAAACGCATTTACACAACAACAACAACAACAGGAAATAGTGTGAATTGTCCTTGTCCCTAATTAAGAAGATGCAAATTTCATGAAGCCGTGCGTATACGTAGTATTTGGATTCTTTCGGGAGACTTGACTTCACCCCACTTGTATAATTTGTGGTCAGAAAGCCAAAAAAAAACATTTACTTGTGTTGATACCAGTAATTATGTACACCTTACAACTTATAGTTGACTGAGAAAGCGATAACGAAGACCAAGAAGACCTTATGCTGTTTCCAAGTAAACGCAAACCTTCTCCTCACATATACCTTACAAAACCATCGTTGCATACTTGCATTGTATCAAGTAAACACTCAGGAAAAAACAACAGGCATAAACATGAGCGCTACTTACTTCCTTTGGACTCTCTTCTCCCTGCTACTATTTCCGAACCTTGGTTCTTCTGCAGATCTCACCGTTTCCAAATCTTGTCGTGATCACTGTGGAGGGATCCACATCCCGTACCCATTTGGAATCGGAACCGGCTGCTATCTCAGTAAATGGTACGAAATTAAATGTGATCATAATATTACCTCTCTTTCAGTTTCAGGGAAGCCCGTCCCTGTTCTTTCCGTAATTGACAAGGAAGTTGTGAAGATCTACCTTAAAGGGTCAATTCGTATAAAACATTCAATAGCTTCAAAGGGATGTTCCAGCGACGGAGAAGAAGAGGTTGAGTCACTTTTGAATTTGACTGGTACCCCTTTTTACGTTAGACCTCGTAATACAATGATAGCGGCTGGTTGTGACAACACGGCATCGTTGACAAATATCGAACCAGTCATGATGGGGTGCAAATCTAGATGCGGCAAAAATTCACATACACCTACTCAAGATTTTCTTGCCCTAGACGAATGTATTGAATCATATGGCAACGACAACGACGACAAGAATTGTAAGGAAATGAGCATTGCCAACGAAAAAAGCTGCAGCGGTATCGGATGCTGCGAGGCAAACATCCCTGGTCATCAACAGATTGTTGGTGTCAGAATAGATAACGTCACGACAACAAACAGAGGGTGCAAAGTTGCCTTCTTAACAGACGATAACTACCTTTTGTCAAATGGTTCTGATGCTCAAAGGATTCATGCTAAAGGATATGGTACGGTTTTGCTAGGATGGTTAATCCATATGCCGAATCGTTCTTTTTTCGACTCTCTGGGATGCCATAATATGAAAGAGTACAGCCAAGCAATAAAAAACCCATCTGCAATCACTTATGGAATCAATTGTACATGCGATAATTATTCTAGCTTTTCAAGCTATGGAAGATGTGATTGCACTGATGGTTACAGAGGCAACCCATATGTTTCAGGCGGATGCAAAGGTTAGTGATTGTGTTACTACTTCATGTTTCTATTCTAATCTTCTATGATGACCAAAGCAAACATATATATTGTGAAGCTGTCTAAACAAAGGCTAGCCTATGGGATCATCTTTTGATTTCAGTTTCATTATTTCTTAAATCAGATGTTAATGAATGCCTAGAAGAGAAGGACAAGTATGGAACTCCCATTTGTACGGACGCAACTTGTGTCAATTTTCAGGGAGGCTATGACTGTGTTTACAAAAATCACCGACGGCAAGTAGTAATTGCAATAGGTAACCATGTAAAATTTTGATCGCCATTTACTTTATGGTATATCCAAAACGATAAACAGTGTTTTTTTCTTCTCTGTCTTTTCTGTGTTTGCAGGGGTTGGTTCGAGTTTTGGGTCATTGATCTTTGTTGCTGGAATATACTTGGCATACAGATTTATTAGAAAGCAAAGAAGGTTAAGCCAAAAGAAGAAGTTTTTCAAACGTAATGGAGGTTTATTGTTACAACAACAATTAACTTCAACCCAAGGCAACGTGGAAAAGACAAAAGTGTTTACCTCAAAGGAGCTGGAAAAGGCCACCGAGAACTTTAGCTTAAACAGAATACTCGGACAAGGTGGTCAAGGTACCGTGTACAAAGGGATGCTTGTCGATGGTAGAATTGTGGCAGTGAAAAAATCTAAAGTCGTGGACGAGGACAAGTTAGAAGAGTTCATCAACGAAGTTGTTATTCTTTCGCAGATCAACCATAGGAACATCGTGAAACTCTTGGGATGTTGCCTTGAGACACACGTCCCAGTTCTCGTCTACGAGTTTATACCTAATGGTAACCTTTTCGAATACCTTCATGATGAGGAGTCTGGTGATAACATGATGGCTACTTGGGAAGTACGTCTCCGCATTGCTATAGATGTTGCAGGAGCTCTCTCATACCTGCACTCGTCTGCATCGTTTCCAATCTATCATAGAGATGTCAAGTCCACAAACATAATGTTGGATGAGAAGTATCGAGCCAAGGTGTCTGATTTTGGAACGTCAAGATCGGTGACAGTGGATCATACCCACTTAACGACTGTGGTTTCGGGTACGGCGGGGTATATGGATCCTGAGTACTTTCAGTCTAGCCAGTTCACTGACAAAAGTGACGTTTATAGCTTCGGAGTTGTGCTCGTGGAGCTTATCACCGGTGAGAAGCCATTTTCTTTCTTGCGGTCTCAAGAAAACAGGACGTTGTCAAGTTATTTCACTCTTGCAATGAAAGAGAACAAACTCTTTGACATTATCGATGCACGAATCAGAGATGGTTGCAAGGTGAATCAAGTGACTGCAGCTGCAGAGATTGCAAGGACGTGTTTGAACATGAAAAGGAGAAAAAGACCAAGCATGAGAGAAGTGTCTATGGAATTAGAGAAAATACGTGCGTCGTCTGAAGACACGCAGTCGCATGAGTATGTTGGCGAAAACAAAGAAGACAACAACAAAAGAGCTGTGGAAGTTAACATAGGGGAGAGTTCATGGAATGACGTGGCGGTTACAGCTCCAGCTTCTCAAAACAGTGTCGCTACATCGTCATTGTCAGATACTGAACCATTGTTTCCTAATCAAACTCGGTAAAAGTCGCCTATCTTTGCTTTTGTGTTCTATTTTGAAGCTTGTGTGTGAATGAGTGTGAACGTACTTTTTTTTCTATTAATGGTCTCCAAGTTATGTAATAAAGGATCTCCTTTCTCAACTTTTGAGGAAGATAGTCAACTTTTGGATTGTGTTTACCCATGGTTTTGGTTTGGTAGCTGACTTTATTTCTCTATATTTATTACTCAGTTGAGATGTAAAGTGTAAACCCATCACCTTAACCGTTGACAATTTGCTCCCTGTGTGATCTGTGTCTAGCTTGCTTGCTTCCATGAAACCTTCACCCCAGCGAGGCAGCTCAATGATTTGGTAGCTCTCATACAAAAATCATTACGCAAAATTGAAACCCAAAAAAAAAAAGGAAAATGAAGAGAGAGAAACTTATCTTTTGTATCCCACTCTCTCTGCTTACTCTGTTGATCTTCAATGTCTCTTCTTTAATAACAACAGCTCAAAACATCAACTCTTCTCCAAGTTATTGTAATAGAATCTGTGGAGGAATCTCGATTCCTTTCCCATTCGGCATCGGACATAAAGACTGTTACCTCAACGACTGGTACGAGGTTACCTGTAACACCACCACAACCACCTCCGGTAACCTCCTAGCTCCGTTCCTCTCTAAGATAAACAGAGAGCTAGTAACCATCACTCTTCGAAACAGCATCGACAGCTCATACGGCGTCGTACACATAAAATCTCCGGTGACTTCCTCCGGCTGTTCTCAACGACCAGTAAAGCCTCTTCCTTTAAACCTCACCGGTAAAGGAAGCCCCTTTTTCATCACCGAGTCGAACCGTCTCGTCTCAGTAGGTTGCGAGAGCAGAGCATTGGTCACCAACATCGAATCTCAGATCATAGGATGCGAATCGTCCTGCGTCGGCAACAAGAGTCGTTCAGACAAGATCTGCAGTGGTTACAGATGTTGTCAGGCGGTGATTACGGCGGATAAACCGCAAGTCATCGGCGTTAACTTAGAAAGCTCCGGCGGTAACACTACTCTGTGCAAAGTTGCGTTCTTGACGAACGAGACTTACTCTCCGGCGAATGTTACCGAGGCTGAGGAGATTTATAGTAAAGGGTTTAGTGTGGTTGAGCTTGGATGGTTCTTTGATTCTCGGTTAAGGGATCCAGCGGGATGTGTGAACTTGACTGAAGCTAGGATCTACACGAGCGCACCGAGTTGTGTTTGTGAGTATGGTTACTTCTCTGGGTTTGGTTACAGTAACTGTTACTGCAATGAGATTGGTTACAGAGGGAATCCTTATCTTCCTGGTGGATGTGTTGGTAATGATCTTCATCTGGTTGACTTTAGTTTGTAACACATATGTTGATTTGATTCTGATACTCTTTCTTTTCTTTGTAATTGTTGTTAAGACATTGATGAATGTGGGGAAGGAAAGGGACGAGATAGCTGTGGAGAACAGATTTGTGTCAATGTTCCTGGATCGTTTAGGTGTGAGCCAAAGGAAAGAGGGAAGATCAACCCTGTGTCTCAAGGTGAGTCAATTGATTTTTCTAAAGTAATATAACATATCAAAACTGAGTGATCTTCATGGTGTGTGTTTGGGTCATTGTGCAGGTTTTGTTATAGGTTTGGCATTGTTGTTCTTGGTCCTTGGGATATGGGGATTGATCAAATTCATTAAGAAGAGAAGAAAGATTATCCAGAAGAGGAAGTTCTTTAAACGTAATGGAGGTTTGTTGTTGAAGCAACAGTTAACTACACAAGAAGGAGGTAATGTGGAGACATCAAAAATATTCACCTCCAAAGAGCTGGAGAAGGCAACTGATAACTTTAACAAGAACAGAGTTCTTGGGCAAGGAGGTCAAGGTACGGTCTACAAAGGAATGTTGGTAGATGGACGTATCGTCGCTGTGAAAAGATCTAAAGTTTTGGATGAAGACAAAGTCGAGGAGTTCATCAACGAAGTCAGTGTTCTCTCTCAGATTAACCATAGGAACATTGTGAAACTCATGGGGTGTTGTCTAGAGACAGAGGTTCCTATCTTGGTTTATGAGCATATTCCAAACGGAGACTTATTCAAGCGGCTACATGATGATTCTGATGATTACATAATGACTTGGGAAGTGCGTTTGCGGATCGCTGTAGAGATTGCAGGAGCACTTGCTTACTTGCACTCTGCTGCATCTACTCCGGTCTATCACAGAGACATCAAAACGACAAACATACTTTTGGATGAGAAGTATCGAGCCAAGGTGTCGGATTTTGGTACTTCGAGATCTATCAAGATAGATCAGACTCACTTGACAACTCTAGTTGCAGGTACTTTCGGGTACTTGGATCCAGAGTACTTTCAAACTAGTCAGTTTACGGATAAAAGCGATGTTTATAGTTTTGGAGTTGTCTTGGTTGAGCTTATAACCGGAGAAAAACCATTTTCTGTTATGCGGTCTGAAGAATACAGAGGGCTTGCGTCTCATTTCAACGAGGCCATGAAACAGAACAGAGTTCTTGATATTGTTGATTCTCGGATCAAAGAAGAGTGCAAAGATGAACAAGTGTTGGCTGTGGCGAAACTTGCGAGAAGGTGTTTAAGCTTAAAAGGGAAGAAGCGGCCAAACATGAGAGAGGCTTCCATTGAGCTTGAGAAGATCTGTTCATCACCTGAAGATCTCGACGTAACATTTGAAGAGGAAGAAGAAGAAGAAAAGGCAATGGAAATCAACATGGATGATACTTGGAGCGTAGAGATGACTGCTCCAGCATCTCTCTTTGATTTATCACCCAAGTTAGAGGTCGAACCATTGGCTCCTCACCAAACATGGTGATAATGGAATCTGATAAAACTGCAGAGATGTACGGAAATGTTTGTTTAATTGTGTGATAACAACAAAGACTCTAATTGTTCCACTCTTCCATAAATATTCTCAAAAACATTTCAGAATTGCATTCCATCACAAAGATTCATTTATACAATGTTTGTGGAATCATCTTGGGACATAAATCACATTATAAAATACAAAAAAGTTTACATTATGATCAAACATTAGCCATTGCTTTAGGCTATTGTTGTTACACACACATTGCATTAGAGGGACAAAATAAAACAATGAGTATCAGCTTTTGGTGACACTTTTATAAGAATTTAAGTTTCCTGCCTTTAGAGAAACTGGCATGGACGTGTTCCATTTGACAAATTGCCTTCTCTTTCCCGGTCATATCCGAACACGACAAGTGGCTATCACCTAAAGTGACGGCAAAGTAGATATAGATGGTGCAGAGGAAGGTCAAAAGGATCATAGCGGTTAAAAGGAAACGATGCCTCCGGAAAACAGTAGAGAAGCTACCCAAATCCTCCCATTGCTTCTTTAGCGCGTGTGGCCTTCGTAACGGTGATGATACAATCCCATCAAGAACCATTTCTTCAAATAAATAAATATATAAAAACTGATCTTTCTAGCTTAAGCCACCAACCTGAAATGACAAACGTGTTTCAGTTCAAAATTAAAAGTGTGAAAACTTTAGTTCATAAACCATTTTACACAGTTTGTAACATTGCCAAGACTCAAAATCATATTCATTGAGTAATCTGTGACGACGAGTTTAACCAATCTAAGTTAATCATATAGATGATTGAAGCGAAGAAAGCCTCAAAACCTTTACGCAAATAAATAACGGAAAACAGATCAAAACCAGAGGAAGAGATTACAAACCGGTTAGAGATCTGGAGATGAAGAGCTGGTTACAGCTCCCTCCGTTGATAATTAAAAAAAAAAGAGTCCTCCTCCTTTAGCTCCCAATAGCAAAAGGTTTTCTCTTTGTCGGCGTGGCGTCGTGAAAACTGTAGATCTCGCGTCCGTCGAGTTATGGTAGAGTTTAGAGAGATTTGCCGGTAAACGCGGTATGTCGAGAGCTCAAAAAGAACATATAGTCCGTTACAAATACCCGATAATTTAGGAATTTTATTTTGAAAAATAAAATTAGGGAGAAAGCGTGTTAGGTTGTGTTATTCTGGAATCGAGTAATATTCCACTCACTTGTGAACTTATAAATGCTCTCAACATGTGGGGGTTGTTTGTTATATTCTAGCTGGCTTTTAAGTCTTCCACCGACGCTACATGACTCTCTCTATACATACTTACATTTATTCACATGGATGTTTTGTATTTGATGATTCAAAAATGTCAAATGTATCTTGAAATTGATTGCTAAAATCCCGACAACAAAATTTAATAAATTCTACTACTAGTAAGATTTGTCAAGAATTAGGCCAATTTAATGTCCTTAGTAAAGTGAGTGGGCCCTTGTAGTGCGTTTGTTTTTCTTTATACAGTACTCCCTCTGTTTCATTATAAGTGTCACTCTACAGCTATGCACACGGATTAAGGAAACAATTAATTTTACATATTTCCTATATAAAAACACAGTTACCCGTACACCTAACCATATTTTAACCAATAGAAAAACAAATTACATAATAAAATTAATAAATTTTGCATTGAAAACCGAAAACGACACTTATTTTGTAACGCAAGAAAATCTCTACAACGACACTTAATATGAAACGGAGGGAGTAGATTTTAAGATAAGGCTTTATTTGGCTACTAATGGGCAAATTTTTGTTTGGCGCGTTTACGAGTGAATAGTCCTCGACCATTTCGAATTTCGCTTCATATGGTCTTTAATGGGCTAACTATCTTTCATTCATGGCCTATGGGCCTTGCCAAAGATACAAACATACGGTTTCTTTGTACATTTACTATTGTCAAGGGGAAAAAATGTTTTAGATACAGACAGGAGGGTTCCAACTTGACATACGGTAGTTGAAATGGTATATTTCTCTTTATGTGAGTAGAGATGCAAAGTGTGATCACGTAATTCTTGAAGGTATAAACATAAAAGTGTAAATAGATATTTTGTAATAATTTTCACGGATTTTCCGAGATTGAAAGTTGAAACCATTAAGATACTACTAGTCTAGTCTAGTCTAGTAGCATACACAAACCGGTTTGGTTTGGTTTAGACAAATTGATGGTCTCCTGGCCCCTGGGTTAGTAAAATTCTTTCTAGTAGCAAAATACTTGAAAAATAAATTATTCAGGAGTACCGTCTCGGTTTTATTTGGTTCAGTAGAAACCGGTGACTTAACCGGCTCTTTTATCCGTGAAACATAGACGGTTGAACCAAGCTGGATAATATTTTTTAAAAATACGATTTTACAAATAAGGAAATTTGAAGGAAGAAGGAGAAAAGAGACCTAAAGTGGCGGGATTCCAATATTCACCACCACCATCACCACCAAAGCCCTACAAAGCTTTCTCTCCCATTTTGAGTGGCGATCCGATTCTCACTCTCTCCCCTTCTCTCTCATTTCAATATTTTTTGTTTCTCAAGAAAATTTCGATAGAAAATCCAACGAAAAAAAAAGAGGATTAGGAATAATCATCATCATCAATCAAATCAGTATCGCTTCATCAGCACGAGATCCACCTCTTTCCTTTCCTCTCACTCCTCACTAATCAATGCCGTGATTTTCCCGGTAACGGATTAATTACGACTGAGATTACGTTTTCGAATTTGATTTGTTTCCCTAATTACATTTATTCGTTAGTTTAATTTAGAAGCAAACTTTCGCCAGCTGCGTTTGAGTTTTTTACTAACCGTACAAAATCTCTTTGTAAAAAATCTGTGATTCCAGAATCGTTTATCGACGCAATGGAGAAGAAGAAGTATCCGATAGGGCCAGAGCACTACACTATCTACGAGGTCATCGGCCAAGGCTGCAGTGCTCTAGTGCATCGCGCCTTATGCATCCCTTTCGACGAAGTCGTTGCAATTAAGATTCTCGATTTCGAACGAGATAACTGCGACCTGGTTGATTGATTCGCTTCGTTGTATGTTTGTTTTCTCATTGGCTAAAAGCTAATTATTACTGTTTATCTGTTGTTGTTTGGCAGAACAATATATCGCGTGAAGCGCAGACGATGATGCTAGTTGATCATCCCAATGTGTTGAAATCGCATTGCTCTTTCGTTAGTGATCACAACCTCTGGGTTGTTATGCCTTACATGTCTGGTGGCTCTTGCCTCCACATTCTCAAAGCTGCTTATCCTGATGGCTTTGAGGAAGTTATTATCGCCACTATGCTCCGTGAGGCCTTGAAAGGCTTAGACTATCTCCATCAGCACGGTCACATTCATCGTGATGTCAAAGTCAGTTATTCACTACACATTTTAAAAAGATTGTGTAGATATGAATAGTATTGGCTTCGTATTGATGATTTTTCTTCGTTTCAGGCGGGGAATATTCTGCTTGGTGCTCGTGGCGCAATTAAGCTGGGAGACTTTGGTGTATCTGCTTGTCTCTTTGATTCAGGTGATAGGCAACGGACGAGGAACACATTTGTTGGAACGCCTTGCTGGTAAGTGTCTCTGTGGTGGTAACTTCTGAATTTAGTTCTCTTGTGAATGATCTATTATTGTTTCTTGTTTTCACAGGATGGCACCTGAAGTCATGGAGCAGTTACATGGTTATGACTTCAAGTAAGTTTAGCCTCCGGTTCAGAGTTTATATCATTTGCGTTTACTAGAGGAGTATATAGTATTTTCTTATTTGGAACATCTACTTCAGGGCGGATATTTGGTCCTTTGGAATTACTGGGCTAGAGCTTGCACATGGACACGCTCCTTTCTCTAAGTATCCACCAATGAAGGTTCATAACCCTGTCATATCTGGAATTCAGCTCCAAAGTCTTTGGTTCGATGCTTAATAAATATGGTTTTCAGGTTCTGCTTATGACCTTGCAAAATGCTCCACCAGGGCTGGATTACGAAAGAGATAGGAAGTTTTCAAGGGTATACTCTCTTGATTTCAGTCAATACTTTTACATCCTGCTCAGAATTTTTTTTTTTTGGGTTATTATCATCTCAATTTTGCCTCTTTTTATGGTTTTTTTTCAGTCTTTCAAGCAAATGATTGCAAGTTGCCTAGTCAAAGACCCTTCCAAACGCCCATCTGCCAAAAAATTGTTAAAGCATTCCTTTTTCAAGCAAGCAAGGTCAAGCGACTACATTGCTCGGAAACTTCTGGATGGGTTACCAGATCTTGTTAATCGTGTTCAGGCAATAAAGGTTGAATATGTAGAAACAAGTTTATTATATCTCTTAGTTGTTTAATATTATCAATCATCATCTTGTGAAAGAACTGGTGGGTATATGCTTTCTACTTGCAGAAAAAGGAAGAAGATATGCTTGCACAAGAGAAAATGGCAGATGGAGAGAAGGAGGAACTCTCCCAGGTTTGTGTTTTTTAGTTTTGGCTTTCTCGATCGATATTTAAATCTTTAACTTTCCAGTTCCAAATCTTCTTCATAGTATTTGGCCTTTAACCTATTGTCATAGTAACATGCAGAATGAATATAAGAGAGGTATCAGTGGGTGGAACTTCAATCTCGATGACATGAAAGCCCAAGCTTCATTGGTATAAGTTTGCTCTCATCTATCCCATAAGAAGTATCCAATTCTTAGTTCACCGAGCTTCATATTATGATGTTCTTATTTCCACCAGATCCAGGACATAGATTGCGGCTTGTCGGAGAGCAGTTTATCTGAAAGTACAACTTCGTTGCAGGCTCTAGATTCACATGATATGCAACCGGAGACTCAGGTGTCTTGTAGAAATATTTCTCAGCTTTCTAGATTACAAATCTTTAGATATTCTCGAAATGTTTCCTTTCTCTATCCATGTTTGTTATTCTGTCGATGTTTAAGGGTTCTTTATTACCTAATCTCTGCAGGAGGATATTGGTCAACTGGCAAATAAGCATCTCCAACCCCTGATTCACCGAACTCTAAGTATCGCAAGGTTTCTCTCCTAATTTTAGCTCTGTTCTCTATTTGAAATTTTCATTTTGTTGTCTACTTATTATCTAGAACTAAGTAAAGTATAAACTGAACAAATAATATTTTGGTTGATCAGGGATAAATCTGATGATGATTCAAGTCTTGCCAGCCCCAGTTATGATAACTATGTATATTCCTCTCCGCGTCATGAGGATCTATCTCTGAATAATACAACTGTTGCAAGTACGCATGCAAGCAATGGGAAACCAATGGACTCCACATCTATCGCAACCAATCAGCCAACAGAGATTCCAGCAGGCAATTGTGTCAATAAGGGAGACAGGTTAGTCCATATTAACATGCACCGCTTTTTGTAAGACCTTTGTTTGGTTCATTGACTAGACATGTTCTCTGTAAGTGAGATTAAATCTAAAGCTAGTATGTCAATTCCCAGTGACAAAATTCAAGACCAGCTTCAAAATGGGGCACATCCTACAGTGGGAGGAGATGAAGTGCTAACAGAGATGGCTGTTAAACCACCCAAAGCAGCAGGTAAGTATATATTTGGATCCAATCTATGCATCCTGGATCAGTGTTTCTAATTAATTAAATGATGAACTGATCTCAGCGAGCCTAGATGAATCTGACGACAAATCAAAGCCGCCAGTTGTGCAGCAAAGAGGACGTTTTAAAGTAACATCTGAAAATCTCGACATCGACAAGGTAAACTCCATTTTCATGGTTTAAAGAGGGAAAAACCGGTTTATTTGTTTTGTTCACTCACGTTTTTATCTGTGTATTCATATTCACTTTCTCTTTATCAGGTAGTAGGTCCATCTCCAATCCTGCAAAAGAGTCACAGCATGCAGGTTGGTAATAGTTTCGAGGTCAGCCTTATCAGCTGCATACACAAATAATCAATGTCTATCATCACAAATATTCATTCAAGCGTGAAAAAAAAAACAAAACATTTGTGTGGTTATTTATGTAGGTGCTCAGCCAACATTCTGCTGCTTCTCTACCTCCCTCTGTTTCAGGAGCTGATGTCGCTTTACCAAATCTAACCAGCTCATACGTTTACCCGCTGGTGTATCCAGTTCTACAAACCAATATATTGGAAAGGGTATGCCTTTTGCTTTCTTTATATCATCTAGTAATGATGAAAAAGATCATTTCATAGTTCACATCCTCCAAAAAAAACAGGAGAACATTCTGCATATGATGAAAGTACTCACCTGCAGAGAGCTGACAGGTTTAATTTCTGTCTGCATTCATCCTTCTTCTGATTAGTTACATTTTATTGCCACTGGATTTGATTTCTTTCATTTCTCCGATGTAGACGGACGTTCAGGTGAACCAGGGGGCTTACACCAACCTAGTAGTGTAGCTCCTACTGAGAAATCAATGGTATGTATACCGTCAACAAACAAAAAAAAGTAAAAACTATTGAATCATATTCCTCCTACAAAATTGAATTATCAAAAGTATTGTTCTTCGGTTGTTGAATCACAGCTTGAAGCAGCACACGAAAGAGAGAAAGAGTTGCTCCACGACATAACTGACCTGCAATGGAGGTAAAACTTAACTTTGACAATCTCCTCTTTAGGTTGTAGTTAAGAATCTTAATATTCTTTCTTCTGTATGTGTGTGTCCATAGGCTTATTTGTGCAGAAGAAGAGCTTCAGAAGTACAAAACCGAACATGCCCAAGTAAGTTGCATCATGTCTGCAATCTTTTAAACTCAACTATATGATTTTATAACCATTAACGTTCATAATTCCCTGTTCAAACTTCTCACAGGTTTGATTTCCTAAGAAACCTGAGAAAAATGTGTGGCTAAGTATAAGAAGTTTGTGTATCATCCATCATCAGCAATAAGTATTTCAATAAGGTATAATACATCTAATGAAGGCAAGATTTGCTTTCAGTTGTTTTGTAATTTGATTCATAAAGTACATCATTTTCCTACAATCACTTTATGTTATTTAGGTAAGAAATATGTAGTATATGTACCATGGTAGCTATTTTATAACCATGGTTACATAATGATTTGTGTAATATTGATACAAAGGAGTTATGGAGAAGCATCTTTGTAATATAATGATGAAATAGATAGATACCTTCAGAGAAACGAATGTAAAGTATGTGTAAGTTTTCTAAATTGGCTGGCATTAGAATTTAGGTTCAATAAAGGCAGAAAAGGACATTGTGACGGATTAAATAGTTAATGCTTAACTAATTATGAATTAGCAGAGCTAAATAAACAACATTACACGCAGACAGAGGACAGAAGACACCGGAGTGTATGACGCGGCCATGCATAATTGGGTGAATTTTCTGGTGGTGGAGGTGTTCGATGCAGCCAAGAACCAAATTTTCCCACAATTATTATAATTAAAAAAAATCTGAAATGAAAGGGAGAAACAAAAGGGTCTCACATGCGGAACCAAACTATGACCTTTGTCTGATCAATGATCATCATCTCCATCTCTCTTTCTCTCTCAGTTGTTCTTTGATCTGTTAAAGAAGCTGTTTTCTCGAGAAAATTTCGAAAAAATCAGGTCCAAAAAAGCTAAAGCTAAAGTAGACTCTCTCCAAGTCTCGGTTTTTGAGCTCTTTACTGGTTTTCGTCTTCTTTTTCTTCTTTCTCGTTTGGCTTCTTTACAACAAATCATTGCCGACAAAACCTCCCAGAAAATTCGTAGATTTTGATTGTTGTTTTCAAGGAAAAACAAAATTTGAACTTGTTTTTTTTTTTTTAAAGCTTGGAGCTTTTTTCTCTGGTTTTTTCAAAATGGGTCTGAGTAATGTGTTACTTCGTAGATAGGACCAACGGGAGAAACAAGCACCACCACTGAGAAGGCGGAGGATAGATTAGGCTCCCGACGGTGGCGGCGGACGAGAGATTTAAAGGGCGGAGGCGAAATGGAAGGGATTCAAAATGAAATTGCATGTCTTTACACACAGCAGGACAAGAAAGGAACTAATCAAGACGCTATGCTCGTTTTTGAGGTTAGTTTCCTATTCATATTCATTCTAAAGTTTTGATTTTGTTCACTGATTCTGGTGAAGAAATGTTTTGTTTAATGTTTGAGTAAAGTTATTTGATTTCTTGCACATGTGTCTTGTTGCTTATCAAACGGATGTACAGAACATGTTGCGTTTCTCTTGTTGTTTTAATGTTTTATTATAACTACAACAACGCTAACTTTTTTTTTTTTTTTTTTTTTTTTGTAACAACAACGGTAACTTATTATCAAAATTTTACCGTAACATATTCATTAACTTGTTTAATGTTGTATTATATTTTCTGACACAACAACGGTAACTTATTATCAAAATTTTATTTAAAAAGTCTGATTTCCTCTCTCTCTCTCTCTCTCTATATCCATTACAGATTTATTACAGCCTTTCAAACTTCTTCTTGTTATTAAAATAAACCAGCTCACAAGCTACTCTTTTCTGTTAAAAAAAAAAACTGGTGCTTCACTTGGAACACTGAGCTCGTCTTACAAGCTTCCTTCAGGTGGACACGATCGAGTTCCCTCCCGTTGACTCTCTCTCAGTGAAGAAAGTCCACAAACCCAAGACATATAGACTGTCTGAGAGCTCAATGACGAGTCCAAGAAGAAGCTGAAGACATCAACGAGTGAGCAAGCAGAGAACCCGAAAACAACAGCAACATCTACTCTAAGAACACATCACAGACTTTTTTTTGGAAGGTAAAGCATCTGGTTTCTCTACTACTACTGAAGTTGATTGTTGTCATGGCTTGTTAAAAAATGCTTTAGACACAGAGATGTAGAATAATGAATATGCTTAATAACTATGGTTCGATGCTTAATAAATACTTGAATACAGTTTGTTCTATACAGGCCCGGCTCAATCATATATGGGACCCAGAGCAGATTTTATTTGCATGAAAATATTATAACTAATTTACTAAAATAGGGCCCTAAAAATTTTAGAAAAGGGCCCTAAACTCTTATCTAAAACATGAAAAAAAATTTGGGCCTAGTGCATATGCACTCTGAGCACTACCCATGAGCCGGGCCTGGTTCTATAAATACTTAATAAATACTTTTCTTTGGTTCGATGCTTAATAAAAATATGGTTTTCAGGTTCTGCTTATGACCTTGCAAAATGCTCCACCAGGGCTGGATTACGAAAGAGTTAGGAAGTTTTCAAGGGTATATACTCTCTTGGTTTCAGTCAATACTTTTACATCCTGGTGAGATTTTTTTTGGCTTATTATCATCTCAGTTTTGTCCTCTTTTCATGGTATTTTCAGTCTTTCAAGCAGATGATTGCTAGCTGTCTAGTTAAAGTCCCTTCCAAACGCCCATCTGCCAAAAAAATTTGTTAAACCATTCTTTTTTTAAGCAAGCAAGGTCAAGCGACTACATTGCTCGGAAGCTTCTGGCAACAAAAGGTTGACTATATAGAACTAAGTATATCTCCCTTAGTTTTTCAAAATTATCAACCATCATCTTATGAAAGAAGGGATGGTTATTTTTGTTTTCTACATACAGAAAAAGGAAGAAGATATGCTTGCACAAGAGAAAATGGCAGATGGAGAGAAGGAGGAACTGTCGCAGGTTTGTGTTTTCTAGTATTCTCTATCAATGTTTAAATCTTTTAACTTTCCAGTTCTAAATAATTTTCAGAGTATTTGGCCTTTAACTTATTGTCATAGTAACATGCAGAATGAATATAAGAGAGGTATCAGTGGGTGGAATTTCAATCTAGATGACATGAAAGCCCAAGCCTCATTGGTAAGTTTGCTCTCCTCTAGCTCATAAAAAGTAGCCAACTAGTTCACCGTCATTCAGATTATGATGTTCTTATTTCCACCAGATCCAGGACATAGATTGCGGCTTGTCGGAGCGTAGTTTATCTGAAAGTACAACTTCGTTGCAGGCTCTAGACTCACATGATATGCAACCGGAGACTCAGGTGTCTTGTAGAAATATTTCTCAGCTTTCTAGACTACATATCTCTAGATATTCTCGAGTTGTTTCCTTTTTCTATCCATGTTTGTTATTCTGTCGATGTTTAAGGGTTCTTTATTACCTAATACCTGTAGGAGGATATTGGTCACCTGGCAAATAAGCATCTCCAACCCCTATTCACCGAACTCGGTATCTATTTTGTTCTCTATTTGGGATTTTCATTTCGTTGTCTACTTATCTGGAACTAAGTATAGGTTTATAAACTGAACAAATAATATTTTGGTTGATCAGGGATAAATCTGATGATGATTCAAGTCTTGCCAGCCCCAGTTATGATAACTACGTGTATTCCTCTTCCCGTCATGAGGATCTATCTTTAAATAATACAACAGTTACAAGTAGTGCGCATGCAAGTAATGGAAACCAATGGATTCCACAACTATTGCAACCAATCATCCAACAGAAATTCCAGCTGGCAATTGTGTCAATAAGGGACACAGGTTAATAATCCCTTAACATGTACTCTGCTTTTGTAAGAGCTTTTTTTGGCACACATTTTTAGTTTAATCGTACCTGCTTAAGTCTTTGAAAACCTGAGGTTCAATTTTCTTTGATTATAGACCAAAAAAACTGACTTTCAACACTCATATTCACTGACTATACATGTACTCTGTATGGGAATTAAAAGCTAAAATGTTTAACTCCCAGTGATAAAACCCAAGATCAGCTTCAAAATGGGGCACATCCTACACTGGGAGGAGATGAAGTACCACCAGAGATGGCTGTTAAACCACCCAAAGCAGCAAGTAAGTATATATATGTTTGAATCCAATCTGTGTATCAGTGCTTTTTCTAATTAATTAAATGCTGAACTGATCTCAGCGAGCATAGATGAATCTGACGACAAATCAAAGCCGCCAGTTGTGCAGCAAAGAAGACGTTTTAAAGTAACTTCTGAAAACCTCGACATCGACAAGGTAAACTCACTCCATTTTCATGGTTTAAAGAGGGAAAAAACGGTTTATTTGTTTGGATCTTTCCTGATACACTGAGACTCTTTTTCCCTGTTCATAATTTTTGCTTAAACCATTGGGTTGTTGTAACATTATAGATGTGGATGGTTACAATCAAGTTATGTTTACTTTTTTGCAAAGTTAGAAACATTTAATCAAACCAACAAACACTTGATGAAACTTTTGCGGTCAATGTTTGCTATATAGGAAACATGCAGATGTGACACTAAGGTGTATTATACACCGTGTATGCAAGCTCTTACCCGACTAGTCCAAGGTCATTGCTCCTTCAGATGGACAAGAGAACCATCTGAGCAAAGGATGATGGATGATCCATGCTAAGCAAGCTGAGGTAATGATACTCTATATCAGATAAAGACATGAAGTTTTGAGATAAACTGCATCTAGCTAAATTTAGAAACTTTGCATGATGTTTTGTGTAGATGGGTTGGTGTGACAGCAACCTATAAAGTGTAAATGAAGTGAGAACAAAATGAGGCAAGAAGAGAGAGCTATGGTATATGCACTCAAACACCAGGTATAATGGGTCCAAAAGTT